AAGGGAGAGGTTGTCCTAGTACCATGGACTGCCCAAGGTTGAAAGGGCTCCGGAGGTTATTTTGACACACACTGAACAAGATTCCTCTCTACAGCCCCCTCCTCTCCCCCCCAACCCCCAGAAATACAAGAAGCCATTTAGCCTCTGCTTAACAAACTCTAATGATGGGGAGCTCCCTTCCTATTGAAGCAGCCCAACTCACTTTGGGGTGGCTACGATTCTTTAGAAGGTTTTCCTTACATGTAGTATGAATCAGCTTCTCTACACCTTCTACACATTGCTCCTGGACCTGCCCTCTGGGACCAAACAGAGCAAAACCAATGCCTCTTGAACGTGGCAGCCTTTCCAATGCTTTAAGATCTGTCCCTCCCAAGGCTTCTCTTCCGTGGCCTACACGTCGCAGCCCTGCTCAGTGACCTGGTTGCCTTCCTCTGGGCATTCCCCACCTTATCAATGTTCCACCTAAAACGCATTTCCCAGAACTCAGCGCAAAGCTCCAGGTGTGCTCTGTTCAGGGCAGAGGAGTATCACCTTCAGTGTCCTGGATACTTATTATGTCCTTGAGTCTCCTCTTCTTGCTGTTGAAGGAAGGACTCCATCCCCAAAATCTTTTTGACTTAGGATTAGAGAGTCCCTGCTATTGCTGTCATTGTTGTTCAGTTGTTTCAGTTGTATCCAACTCTGTGACCCCATTTTCAGGTTTTATTGACAAAGATACCAGAGCGGTTTGCCATTTCCTTTTCCATCTCATTTTAGAAATGAGGAAACTAAGGCAAAAAGGATTAAACGACTTGCCCAGGGTCACACAGCTAGGAAGTGCGTGAGGCCAGATTTGAACTCAGGAAGATGAATCTTCCTGACTCCAGGTCCAGCGCTCTATCCACTGTAGCACCATCTAGCTGCCCAAAAGTCCTTGTACTTTCTGCTTCATTCTGTTATCGGGATCCTGTACCCCCAAGTATACTTTGGTAAAAGTTCTGCCAAAGAAGCCTCATAAGAGATAGGTGGGACCGAGGCACCTCAGTTTTCCTGTAACTCAAGATTCTTTGGGTCTTGTGTAAATAAAAGAAAGGAGGAAAGGCAAGAGGAAGAAAATAAAAGCTAGGTGGAAAGAAATCTGGCAGAAACTAGTTTTAGACCAAGATCTCAGACTACATACCAAGATGATCTTAGACATAAAGAGCGTCTTCATAAACCAAGTAGAGGGGCAAGGAAGAAATTACATAGCAGATTTATGGATAGGGGAAGAAGTCAGGACCAAACAAGGACCACAAAGAAAAGATTACACGAAAATAAAATGGACAATTTTGATAACATAAAATTTAAAAGATTTTACTCAAGGAAAATGAATGCATCTAAACTCAGAAGGGAAGCAGGTAACTGGGGTGGGGGGAACCTTTATAGAAAACCTAAATACCAAGTTTCTCTGATAAATTTCTCATTTCTAAGAAATATAAGGAATGAATTCAAATTTGTAAGAACAAGAGTCATTCCTCAATGATAAATGTTCAAAGGATAAGAAAAGATCATTCTCAAGGTAAGAAACTCAAGATATCTATAGCTATAAGAAAATATACTCCTTATAGCTGGTAATAAATCCAAATTAAAGCAATTCTCATACCCATTAGATTGGCAAAAGCTAACAAAAAAGAAAGTGACAAACGTTGGAGGGGCTGTGGGAAAACAGGCACATTGATTGGCTGGTTAGACCCCATGTTCTATGTCAACTTGGAAGGGGGTTTCCAGTGTCGCCAAGGACACACTAACCTATACTGCTTACTGTCTTTATCAGTGACTTGGATAAAGACCTATATGGCCTGCTTATCCAATTTTCAGAAGAAACAAAGCTCAGAGGAATAGCTGACCCAGCGGAAGCCAGTGAGCACCCCACCCCAAGTCAAATTAATCAAAGATTAATTGGTCCAGGCTGGATGATTGAGCTGAATCTAATTATATGAAACTTCATGGGGATAAATGTAAAATCTTAAATTTGGATTCAAAGAATCAATTTCACAAGTACAGGATGAAGGAGGCATGGCTAGATGGAAGTTCATCTGAAAGAGATCTAGGGATTTGAGTAGACTACATGTTCAGTAGGAGACAATAGTGGGGCGCGGCAGCCAGGCCACTTGAAATGACTTGAGTCTACATTAGGAAAGGTGTATCATCCAGGAATAAGGAGGTGATGGTGCCTCTGTGTGCAGCCTTAATCAGACCACACCTAGATGACGTTGTAGTTCTGGTTCTGCCATGTCGGAAAGATGTTGAAAAGATGGGAAGTATTGGAGGGAGGGCAACCGAGTTGGTAAAGGGCCTTGAGATCATGCCATATAAAGATCAGATGATGGAACTGGGGGAAAGTTCCGCGCCAGCGTGGTAGCTGTCATCCCCTATCTGAATGGCTGTGGAAGAGGGATTAGCCTCACCTCTTGCTTGGCCCCAGAGGGCACAACTAGTAGCTGCAGAGAGAAGTTGTAAAGAAGAGATGTAGGCTTGAGGTCAGGAGCTTCTCCCTAACCATCCACGCTTAGCTGCCCTGGCCCCACCCAAGAAATGCATCATGAGGTCTTTGCCCAAAGGCTGAATGGCCAGTTGCTGGCAGGGATGGTGTGGCGGGCCTGTTTGCCTTCTTGTTTAGAAACTCGATGCCTCTCCCCCCTCCCCGCCCCCAATTCTACCAGTTCATCTATACATTCCTATTCCATGAGCAAGAAAGGCATCCTTGACTGGTTAGGGCTTGTACAGGACTTTACAAATCAGGCTAGAAGAGAGGAGGGGGAAGGGGGATTTCAGACATGGAAAGGAAATGTTTGAGTCTCCGTCTGAGGAGCACCTCCCTCCCAGCCTTCTCCTGAGGCCATTCCCCGCTGGTCTTCACTCCCAGGGGTGCCCAGGATGAAGCTGTCCCTTGGGGCCTCTCAGGGCATAGACCCAAGTCAAGGTAATTACATTCTTCAAATGTTTTCCATGTTGAGACCTAACAACAGCCTGCTGGGCCCTAGCCCTCTCACACATTAAGCCCAGGCAGAGTTGTAGGGCCTCCTCCCAAGTCATTCATTCCTTGCCTTCTCTCTCTCTCCCTCCTCCCTCTCTCTCTCTCTCTCTCTCTCTCTCCCCCCTTCCTATTCTTTGTCTCTCTCTCTTTCCTCTCTTCTCTCTCTTCTCTCTCTCTCTCTCTCTCAATCTGTCTTTGTCTCTGTCTCTCTCTGACTCTTTCTCTTTTTGTCTCTCTCTCTCTCCATCCCTTCCCCCTCTCATTCCCACCCTGTAGTTTCTCTCCTCCATACAGAAGTCTCCTAAGAGTTCTGTCTCTGTCTCTTTCCTTCCCCCAATTCCCACCTCTCAAAGCAATGCCTCAAAATAAATGTGAACAAAATGAGAGTCATTCTCTTCCTCCCAGATATTCCTCTTTCCTTCTTCTTCTTTTCCCTTCCACCTCTACCTCCCTCACCTCCTCTCTTCTCTTCTTCCCCCCTTCCTCCTGCCTTTTCTCTTACTCTTCCCCTCCTCTCACTTTCTCTTCTTCTGCCTTCTCTCCTCTCCTGCCTCCTCCCCTCTTCATCTTCTCCCCTCCTTCTTTCTTTCCTCCTCCTTTCCTCCCCTCCTCCTCTTCTCTATCTGCATCAAGGGCCATACCCTCAAGGTACACAGCCTGGCACCCACAGTGCTGACTGTTTTAGACCTGTTGTACCTCAGGCTGATCCGTGGACCTGACCATCAGCTCGCTCCATCACTGGGCCATCCTCGTCTGGTCACCCACTGAGCGCCACCCTCCAGAACCTCACCACTTTCAGCCTTTAACTTCCCTCCTTGGGTCTCTGGGCTTCTCCTCTGCTTCCTCCAGGCCACAATGTACAGGTAGCCCCTTCCTCCTGCAAGGCAATTATGGTCACTTCTGCTTCAGAGCCTTCAACAACTCCCCAGTCTGGACCCACAACATTTAACCTGGCATTCAAAGCCCTCGACAAACTAGCACCTTCTCTTTTCAACCACACTTTTCAACACTCCCCTTCATTGGCATTTCACCACTGGCCCTTGAAAAAGCCCTGTACTTTCTCACCTCCCTGACTTTGCTTCCCCCATTGCCCATCACCGTGCTGACTTCTTCCCATCTCTGACTAGTGAAATCCCACCTATTGCTTTAGGCCCAGCTGAAATGTTTCCTCCTCCTGGAACCCTTCCCTGAATTCCCTCCTTCCCACTCCCCTTTTTGGCTTTTTCAGTCTAACTGACCTGGGCTGTCTCACTGCCGATGGAACTTATTTGTGGGTCGCGATTATTTTGGTTATCACTGTTAGTAGCGTCTGTGTCCTGGCCCTCTCTGCTCCCTGGAAGCAGCAAGCCTCCCCCCTTACCCAGCCCAAGGTTGGGGCCCTAAATAAAGTCAGGGTCCACCGAATACGCACCCAGACCTGGCCCCAGAAGGATGACTAACTGCTGTCTCAGAGTGACCCAGAGCTGCCCTCCCCGTGCCCTTGGGTTTGGGGCCACGCTCCCCAAGGCCCGCGGAGGGGAAGGCACAATCGGACTGGGGGTGGCACAGTCAGGGTCCTGGCGGCAGGAGGGCGGGCTGGGTCGGCATGCCCAGGGCAGGGCCAGAGCCAGGCCCGGCTCCGGCTATAAATAACTGGCTCCAGGATGGGGCAGAAGGGGTATGGGGGACGCTGCCCTTGTTTCTGCCAGCCGGGCGGCTGGGGTGGGGGGGCACTCCCTGGACACGCCCATCCCCCGTATGAGTCCAGTCTCCGCAGAGGGGATGGGGGGATCTCGGGGCGGGGCAGGGCTCGAGGAGAGGGGGAAGGGGACCGGTTCCCGCCGGGGCCCAGGCGCACGGAGGCATGGCTACGGCTAGGGCGCTGGAGCCCCCCCGGCCGAGCTTCCGTTCTGCCCTCTGGGTCCTGATTCTGAAGCCCCTGGCACTGCCTCTGCTGCTGCCCCAAGTAAGTGCCCAGAGGGAGCTGGCAGGACATCTCAGAGCGCAGTGAGACTAGCCGGCCGGGGGAAAGGAACAGGCCAGCCGGGCTGGGTTTCTCAGAGCTCACTGCGGCTCAGAGGAAGGGAATGTGAGCTGGGCTTTCAGCGCAATGTGGGTCCGCGGGAGAGGAACTGAACACACCCGAGCTGGGGATCTCAGAGAGCGAAAGCGGTGCGTCCCGGAGGAAAGGGAACAGAAGAATTTGGGCATCTCCGAGTACAATGCGGTCGATTGCGGCGTTGGCCGGGAAAAGTGGGAGAGCGGCCAGAGGAGAGGGACACGCGCGGGCTGGGAGAGAGGGACACACGCGGGCTGGGGGAGACCCGAAGGGAGGAGTACGTGCGGACTAGGGATCTCAGAGCGCCGTGGAGCTAAGGCGAGGGGGTGCAGTAAAGAAGAATGGCATATGGGGTGGGAAGGCGGTCTCAGAGCGTTGTGAGGAGGGGCCTGGAACTCTCCTGGGGGCAGGCAGCCCTCCCTCAGGATTTTCAGACGCCCCAAAAGGTTCTCTCCTTGTCCGGAAGAATGTGCTGCTCTCAGGAAACTGGGAGCTGCTTTCCCTCTCCCCCTCCAATCCTCATAGCACCTGGACTCTTCCCATTCCTGACATTCTCCTGACTCCCTCAGACCTTCTGGCCTCAGACCCCCAACCACGCCAAAGCTTCAGGTCCCAGGCTCCGCACTGCGCCTGCGTTCATGGGCCAAGGCCTTCAGCAGCACTCGGGAGAGGTGAGGACTCAGGTGCATAGATTTATACTAAAGAGACGTTTGAGCTAAGTAGTTTTTGTTTGTTTGTTTGTTTTTTTACTGAAAACCGTGTCTCCCTCTTCTATTGAGAAGGAACATGGTGGGGCGGGGGTCTGTGATATCAAAGGGAGAGGGACCAGACCTGTGGTTTCCTGCCCACAGGGAACTCCCAAGTAAAGAAGTCCCTTCACTAGTGCAGGTCAGCACCTGCTTGGCAACATAGAGTCTCAGTTGCTCCTAGAGCAGTGAAAAATGAAGTAACTTGTTCAGGGTCTCATGGTCAGAAGTGTTAGAGGCAAGACTAGAGCCTGCCTCCTGGTCCTTCCTGGCTTTGAGGGCAGCTCTCTGCTGGCCTAGGCTGTGTTATTATACAGGCTGGAAAGCAGATCTGGAGAAGGAGCCTGATCTGGGAGCCCAGATGGTGTTCTAGGACGAGCAGAAAGCTTGTTTAGGAGAGATGAGGAAGCTGGAATCATATTGTTTGACTCAATCCAATTGGACAGATTGGACTCAATCCCTATTGGACGCAGCTTCTCCTGTGTGTCAGGCACTGAGTGAGGGGATCTGACATCAAGACAGAAAGAAAAAATACAAAACAGGTGCAACCTTCAAGGAGGACCCAACATTGAGATGGTTGAGTAAGTGTGGGAGAATTTGAGGAACAATCATGCAGCAATAAATAAGTGCGGGATATGTGGGAAGTCTCCATTGGAGGGCCTTAGACTCTATGCTGGGCTTAGTTTTGTTCTGCTGAGCTTTTTTGGATAAAAGCAGAGATGGAATCTTTGTGAAGGGTGCAGATGATAGAAGCCAGGAGGGATGACAGTTTGACTCACAAAGGATCACCAGGCAATCAAGATTAGGCTGAATCTGATAAGGTAACATTTAACAGTGATCAATGTAAAGTCTTACATTTGGATCCAAGTAATCAACTTCCCAAGTATAAGTTGGAGAAGGATTGACCTGAAAAAGACCTGGGGGTTCTAGTGGGCTCAGCGGGTGTCAGCAGTGGGACGTAGCTGCCAAAGAAGCCAGTGTGATCTTGGGCTGCATTAAGAGGGCCAAACTTCAGGAATAGAGAATAGAGAGGGGATCACACCACTGAACTTTGCCCTTGTCACACTTCATGGGGAATGTTTGATTCAATTCTGGGGACCACAGTCTAGGAAGTACATTGATAAGATGGAGAGTGACCAGACAAGGGCAATGAGGATGGAGAAGAAGGGCTTTGAGTTGGAGACCTATCAAAACTTCCTGAAGGAACTGGTGGCATAGTAGCTGACTTTGAGTGTCTGAAGAATTATGGTGAGGAAGAAGGGTCAGACTTGTGTTGTTTATCTGCCCACAGGGCAGAACCAGGAACAGTTGGAGGAAGGGGAGAGCTGTAGGGAGGCAGATATAAGCTAAGCATCAGGAATGATTTCCTAACACACCTAACAGTCAAAAAGTAGAATGGGCTGCCTGGGGAAGTAGTGGGTTCTCTTTCATTGGAGGTATAGTGTCTGCAGGCATTATTGTCTGTCTTTTCACCCTCTTTATGCTCTCAAGGGACATGAACTTCATCCTGAATCTCTATTTGACTTTGGATTAGAAAATCCTTTTAACTCTTTAATCTCTGATTATTAAACTGAACCCTATACAGAGTCATTTCAGGGGATCGCTTGTGTCTGAGGCCTCCTCGGGTTTTTTCAACCCTGAGGTTTCCTTCCTTCCTTCCTTCCTTCCTTCCTTCCTTCCTTCCTTCCTTCCTTCCTTCCTTCCTTCCTTCCTTCCTTCCTCCCTTCCTCTCTTTCTTTCTGTCAGTTTCCTATGCAGCATAGTACAATTAAATAAAAAGTCCAAAGGATTTGAGGTCTGAGGAACTAGATTCAAATCCAGCCTCTGCCCCTCAAGCCAATGCCTGTATACCTGGGAAATAGAAGTCACTTCACTGGGTCTCAGTTTCTTCAACCCTAAAAAAGAGGGGATGGACAAGGTGACCTTGAACATCTCTTCCAGTTCCAAAGTTACAATCCCATGTTTCAAATGAAAAGGAGGGGAAGGCAAAGAACGAAAGTCCCTTTGGGAGCCTCTTGAAGGCATCTCCTTCCGCCTCAGTCTTTTGTTCCGCAGGATTGCTGCCTTCGGTGGACTTGCAGCAAGCCTGGCACTGCACTCAGTGGTCTTGGAGCAAGGCTGGGTGGCTAGCTGCCTAGTGCATGGGGGAAGGGTCCTTGTTTAGGTACAGGTTGGATGAGGCAGTTGCCCATGTCCTTTCCAGCTCTGACATTCTGGTATTCTCTAATTCCGTGATGGAAGGCTTCCCATAAGAGATGGCACCTCAACACATACTTGAAGGAAATTAAGGATTTTAAGGGGCAGCTAGGTGGTGCAGTGGATAGAGTGCCAGCCTTGAAGTCAGGACAACCTGACCCTGGCCTCAAACACTTACTAGCTGTGTGACCCTGGGCTAGTCACTTCACCCTGCTTGCCTCAGTTTCCTCATCTGTCAAATGAGCTGGAGAAGGAAAAGGCAAACCCCTGCAGAATCTTTGCCAAGAAACCCCCAAATGGGGTCACAGAGAGTCAGACCCAACTGAGCAACTGAGCAAGAATAAGAATTTTGGAGATGGAGGCGAGAAGGGAGGGCATTCTGTCAGCCTGTGCAAAGACATGCAGGTGAGAGGAGACCAGGCAGGAGGCCAGTTTGGGAACATAGAGGGAGAATTATGTCTGGAAAGGCAGGCTGGAGGTAGACTGGGAAGGGCTTTAAATTCTGGAATGAGGCCATAGAATGAAGGGAACAAGGGATCAGGGAACATAGGGAGAGGGTGAAGTCCAACCCCCTCATTCCACAGAAGCTGGGGGGGCACTTCATGAAGACCACACTGTTATCTTCTTGGTTGAATGCTGTGTCAATCCCAGAAGGCTGCCTGGAGGAGGCAGTTCCAAGGCCATGCTCTTTGTTGAGGCCCTGGTCAGGAGAGCTTGTGCTAGCTGCAAGTTCATGGGTATTTCCTTCTTCTCTTCAGAGAAGTTTGGCTAGATTCTACTCCCAGAACAAGGGTGTCTTAGGGTTTGCAAAGTTGTCCTGTAATGTGGATAGCATGACTATCGTTGCCTCATTTTAGAGATGAGAAGACTGAGTCTCAGAGAAGTTCAGTTAATAGAGCTAGTAAGGATCATAGAGATAGGATTTGGCCCCAGATTTTTTGTGCTTTCTCTACTATGCTAAGATGTCTCTGGTACTGAGGCCAAGCTAAAGGAAGTAAGGAAGAATTTTGAAGCCCTGTGCTTGCCAAGCATGGGTGAGATTAATTTAGAAGACTTGGGCCTGAGTCCTGGTATTGTGAGAGCTTGGACAAGTCTCTCTGGGGATCAGTTTCCTCCTTTGTAAAATGAGTAGGGGAGATGGGGAAGGGATTTCTCAGATCCCTTCCAGGCCCAGTCCCCTCTGTACTTATAGACAGGAGTTTCATGGGTCCTTGTTTTCCTGACATGTCCCCAGATACCCCATCCTGCCCCCATCACCCCAAGCAGTGTGTGTGTGGGGGGGGGGATTGGCTTGCATGCCAGCGGCACCATGGAGGCACAAGTAAAAATCTATGGAGAGGTCACTTCTGAGCTTCTATCTGTACCCAAAAGGTTTGAGGGTCAATGTGGCCTCTCAGTGGAAGGAGGAAACAGGTCATTAACTGGAAAAACAAAGGAAATGCATCATGGCAGATGTGTTGGAAAGGGGACAGAGCCCAGGATGTGAGGTGTATATGTGTGTGGGGGGGGTAAACCTCGCCTCCCCACCTGTAAAAGAGCCCTGATCTTCCCAGAACACAATGGGGGAGGGAGGTGTTATGGCAGTGTTAGATAGGGGGAATCCCAGACCATCAGAACCCTAAGGGACCAAGATGGCTTCCAATCAGCTCTTGGCTGAGCGAGAATCTTCTAGACAGCTGCTCACCCAGCCTCTGCTCAGAGATCCCTGGGGAGGGGAGCTCCTGCCCGTCAGCCCACTTTGGGGAGCTCTTCCTGGTGTTGAGCCTGAATTGGTCTTGACAGCATCCCTGCCCTTACTCCACATGACCAGCCTCAAGATACTGAACTCAGCTCTCGGTCTGAGTTCCTTCTCCAAGCTAAGGGGACTTCTTCAGCTCCCTCCTCTCATCCTCACTGGGCCTGATCCCAGACCCTTCTCCAACTGTTGACTCCTTCTAAACACTCCCCAATCCATGTCCTTCTAGAAATATGGCACCTGAGGCTGAGCCCACAGCTCAAATGGGAGCAGGAGCAGGCTCAGGAGTGCTCTGCAGAGAATGAAGTTTCACCAGGAGCGCTCACAAGGTGCCTGGAGATTCTGTCCTTTCCCAGGACATCTCAGGTTGCTGGAGAGTTCCCATCCAGCTAGGGGTTGAGCCGTCTGCTTCATTTACAGCCTTAGTATTTCTCACCCAGACACTCTCCTTTGAAATGCACCTGTGTCCTTGTGAGCAGAAGCTTGGTGCTAAGCACATTTCTTCTCAGGAAGACAGCAGGGATGGGAGCTCAGGCCCTGCTCTGAGCATCAGGAGGCCCCAGTTCTCAGCCTGGCTCCATTCAATGAAAGAGCAGGCTTGGGCCAGCCTGGCTGGGATTATAGATTTAGAACTGAAAGACGTAAAGGTCACCTTCTCCAGGGCCCTCACTTTACACATAAGGAACAGAGGCCCAGAGAGGGGAAGCAGCCTGCTCAGCAGCTAGATGAAGACCTGAGTTCAGATCCTACCTCTGGTGATTACTAAGCATGTAGGCAAATCCATATCCTCTCAGGGCCTCAATTTCCTCGTCTGTAAAATGAGAAGGTTGGCCTTGGTGACTCCTGAGGGCCCTCCTGGTTCTGGATCTAGCATCCTTTGATCTAAAGAGGTCTCTTTCAGATCCATGGATGGATGGATGGATGGATGAATGGGTGGATGGATGGGCACATAGGCAGATAGGTGGATATATGGAAGGAGGGGTAGATAGAGGGA